GAAGTAAGACCACTGCCGCATGAGCCAGTCCATGGTATACGATTAACTAATGCGCGTTGGTCGTACTTGACCTTGGCAGGGAGCGATGATCTGTTCGGCATCCAGTGATCCAACTGCCGGATGATTTGGCTAGGGCTCAGTGACATTTCACTGACCCTACAAGCCAAATGTGTCTGTGAATAAGGGAGATAGTAATTGATAGACAGGGCATAACTCGAGAATGGTAATTCGTATAATAACAGTTTACAGGTCAAAATTAAGTTTATGATAAGTTTAGCTACTTAATAAGTATACAATAAATATATATATATTGGTCCATAAATAGACCCCAATAGTTACCATTCATTATTCTCATCGGGATATAATAAAAATTCCATCAAGACAAATGCTGTATCAGTTGTAAGTTGAACTGCCTAATATAGAGGTTTAGTCAAGAAGATGTAGCGGTCTGAAAAAGCATACATTTATTTAATTAACATAAAACTCTGAATACCTCATTTTAAGTTATTCAGGTAAATAATGATCAAGGTCAAGGATTTATGGTTGAATTTTGGTTTAACATTGTTACGTCCTTGATCTGTCTACTTATATTTGTACATAGGATAATTTGTCTAACCTGAGGCTTATGTGCGTGAGTTCAAAGTGAGATCAACTTCTTGGGGTACAGAGACGGAAACTATTCTATCACATTGGTTGACAAGCACGCGAGTGAGAGAAGACAAGTCAACTGAAATACTACACGATTTATTCCCAATTCCAATCCGCTCCCCGATTCAGAATAGTGCAAAAAGATGCATGAATAAATAGATGAATAACCAGACCACAACACTCAAACAATTAGGAAAATACAATTATGTCCAAAGCTGGGAATCAGAATAGAAAATAGAGCACAAAAGATTGCGTTTAATTTACAATAGCTTTGGAACAGAAAATGTTATGGCAGTGAATCATACATCAAACGAAAGCTTATGATCTGTAGAATAGACAAGGGAGAAAAATAAATAACACTGTATTACAAGTTTTTGATTAAATGAAACAACGTCCCCCAAAATTAGCTTTCGTAGTTTGCCAATGCTTCTTGTTTTCTCTGTTCACATCAAATATCTATCACAGTTTAAGTATAATTCGTTCTTTGTTTGTTATTTACAGCAGATAATAATTTACATGTTGAATCATGTAGTAAAGAAAACATTAGGCTGACCAACAAATTTACTTAAGACAGATTAGTAACTCAGTGAAGTATATTGCTACTATTTAATGATTCTTAAGTTAAATTTCATTTCACTTTGTCATCGGTTAAGGTTAATAAAGTTAATATTTACTTAGTCTTTTCATTACTTACAATCTATCAGTTTTAATTTGTATCGTAATTCACTTACTAATTTCTAGACTACTTAAAATAACTACTTATATATGGTACAGTAATAGATAGATAGGTCTTTATTCATTTATATAAATTATACAATAAGTGTGGTATGAGCTTTCATTAAATGTGTAGGAGGTAATCTCATAGTAGTTGTATGTAATTTTCATCTCTTTACAACATCATTTCAGCGAACTATAAATAGAGATTTTTTTTTAAAAAAACGGTAAATACTTAACCCAACTTCAATACATGTTGATTAATTACATGTTTTATGTTACTTAGATTGTTTTACTTAACATAGAAATTCTATTTTCTTGCAAAAAACAACAACAAATAAATTGTATATTTATAACGTTTTATTATCAATTAAGCGATAGAAAGCCATTAGGTGATCGTTAGTATCGTATATCTGGATTTCTAAGCAGATTGTTGGTTAATATAAGATTTCAAACTTCATAACTATGCCACAGACAGCGATACTATCACTGTGGTATTCGAGTTGAAACTTAATTGAAGAAGGACCGTGGCTTCTGTACTGACTGATCATTGAGTGGTAATAATGTTATAGGTTAATGGAACTGCAGAACGGAAACCATTGGTTTTGTCCAATCATACCAAGTTTTTATTCTACAGCTTTAACATCTCCATATTTGTGGCTCTGCTTGTAGCTAATTTGGTGTCGTGTTTTTACAATACGTGCTTGAAATTTAAAGTCAGTGGGAATATCCAGTTAATGAGTGGACGATATTTGCTCATACTGTTGTTATTTTGAACTATTATAATTAACATTGTTACCGAACAACCTTTATAGTATCAATGATTGGAAACTGCTATTACTCTTGAATAAAACAGCTTTGTGTATTATTATTATTATTAGTTTGATTTTTTTCTGGATTGGAAATCAGTAGATGTTAACTAAGCCATATATCGTTTTTAACTTGGAAGTTCATGTTTCACCAGCAACATCACGCCTACCTAGTCCTCAACGATGATTGAGTTACACCTACCAATTCAATGTACAGATGTATAAAACATGTTCAACTAGGTTGAGTACAATTTCTGCAACTTAATTTAAGCTGTCGTAATTAATTGAACTAAGCGTTTCGCAAATAACAAATATACACCATGTGGATGACCCAGATATATAAGACGCAAATATAAAGTCGTATAGATTGCTTAAATAGAGATACAGTTTATAAGACTATTAACTATAAACTATTTATTATATATTTGTTTATTTACTTAATAATGCGATTTCTGTGTTATTGATGGTTCTGCTATATAAAAGCATGTGAAATTTCATTCGTCATAGTGTAATTTTGTTTATTTGATGACTTCTAGTTTCTTGTATCTTTCGTTAATTTTGAGGAAACATTTTCATATAACTTATTAAATAAACAGATGATATAAGCAAAGATGGATAGTGTCTAGTAGTGGAATCCAGTTTGACGCGCGTATCGTCCTATTCGGGACTCGTCAGCTGAGTGTACCTTCATTTCAGGGTTGACCTTCATCCCGGAACTCGAACCCAGAATCTTTCACTTCAAACGTCATCACGTTATTCACTTAGTCATTGAGCCCTGATAGCCACTTACATATGCAATAGAGTGAAGTTTAAATTCTCTTGGTAAATAATACCAAGTGAAACAGATGATGTCTTTTCTAACTTTACTGAATATTCATTATATTCTTTTCTGAACTTGTGTAGAAATTTGAAAATGATTAGTAAGATGTATAGTTGGCATTTTTGGCCTATGATGAATATATCTGTAGATTAGCATTGTAAGTCATGCAGAGAATTAGAATGTAAGATGATGAACCATAGACCATTCACTTTACTTACTACCTTATCTGTATCTATCCTTTGGGATATGAAGGCGCAAGTTCATCAGAATTTGTAAACGAGAAGGAAAATGCTAAAGGTTTACAATAACTCATCAAGTACAAGCATTACGTTACGAGGACCTTATTAAATATATAAATAAATGTTTTTGAAATGAATGGGTCTGGTTGTATTCTGTTCTATGAAATAAATAACTTTTCATTGTTCAAAGCAACATTAAAATAGCGTCTATTTGAAGTAAAAGTGTGATTTTTAAAATAATCTAAAACTTAGTTTTTAACTGGTCAATTTCATTGATTTTGATATCATTGCACTTCATGGAATTTTTGATTGAATATTCCTATTCGGTTGACCTCTGATCAAATGTTTTATTGACTCATTCTATATTATCTGATAAACTGGGTCTATGTCGATGTTTTTCGTTCTTTGGAGATTACTCTAAATGCCATAGTTCAAGAAATTCTCCTGAATTTTCATAATGTCCTCGATCTACAACCTCGAAAATATTTATTTGTCTGTGTGTATTGAAATAAGCGTCATTTCAATGCTAGTTCATATTTGTCTATGAGTAGATATAAAGATGAGTAAACCCATGACTTGTTTCAGTATAACGTGAAGTAAGTTTGCTGTATTGAAATGCGACGAACATTGATTTCAAAGGTTCCAATAATACTGCAATGACTGTTATATTATTATTGAATCTGATTTCTCTAGGTGATTTGTAACGGTAAACTGACTCACTAGAGTCGTTTTGTAGAGCTAGGAAGATAGCCGTTTCTATAAAAAAAGGTCGGAATATGGGCTTTTTTAACTCTTTACAATACTGTTTCTATACATAATGTTCTGTGTACCGATAAGTTGTTGTTGGTATAATTTAATTTCTGATTTATCGGGTTCAGCCTTCTACATATTCCTATTTTCAATGCTTTTTTCATAGTTTTACTGATGGATTAACTCACGAATAAAATTTTATATGCTTAATTTTCTCCTATCGTCATTTTGATATCTTCAAAGATATTGTCGATCAAAAATATGGGGTAGTGAATATTATTATGTATTTGATTGGGATCATGAACCGATTAATGGTATATCACCATTAAAAGTATGAGAACACTGGCTGACCGTTTCGTACTATTGTGGGACTTCTCGGCAGTGCACATCCACTATCCTAGTCACGGGATTCGGGCCCAAGACCTCCGGTCTCGTGCGTAAACGCTTATTATTATTATTTTTTGTTTATCATATTTAGGAATAGCCCAGGACAGAGTTGGATGGCGAATGCTGGTGAGCGGCCTATGTTCCTTCACGAGGAGTAACAGGCGTAAGTAAGTAAGTATATTTAGGCATAACAAATCCATCAGTTCATGTTATCAACGAATATAAATGAATATTTGAAGAAGATTAATGAGAAATTCGATATGTTCTTGTCTAGAATTTCTTACCATACTAACTATGTATTATACAAATAAAATATTCATTCCCTAGTTAATGAGAATCAGTCTAATTTACTACACAATAGTTTTCTCCACTGTTTTATATTTAAATAGTTGAATTCATGAGTCCATTGAAGCTAGACTACCATCCAAAATCTAGAAGAACTGGACAGCTTTTTCCATCCTACTATAAAACTCCTCAACAGTGCGCATCTTCCATTCCACCCAGTAATATTTGAACCCAAGACCTATCAATCTCGTATACGAGCACTTAATCTCTATTCTTGAAAAGTCTTTCAAATTTCATCAATTCCTAATCGTTTTTTAATGTTTATTTAGAATGAATAGACGTTTTATTCAAAAACTTTATTCCTTTTTTTTTACATTTGAAATGTTTCATTAATTGATTAAAGGGTGATAAAATGAATTACATGTAGTATGTATATAAACTGTTTAATAATATAGAACTTTTTCTCTCTCTTTAAAAGTACTTCTTTCTATTCTTTATATGACTTCATTGAAATTAACCCATAAAACCTCGACGTTTGCCAATCATTCCTCGTCTTTTTAACATAATTCGAAAATAGGTCGCTGAAATTTGTAAATATTAAAATAAAAAAAACGGAAAAAAATAAAATCAGTTTAGGGGTTGTGGAGATTGTTAAGTTTTTAATTGAGATCATGAACCGATTGATGTTAGATCACCATTGAAAACCTGGAAGCACTGGATGGCCGTTTCATCCTATTGTGGGACTCCTCAACAATGCGCATCCACGATCCTGCTCGCGGGATTCGAACCCAGGGCCTTTGGTCTCGAGCGCGAACGCTTAACTTACTGGACCACTGAGCCGGCATCCAATGGTGTTAATGTCTAACCACGAAGTTGCGCGACCATCTTCCATTGTACTGAGGGAGACACTGCTGAGGAGTTTCAAAATAGGACGAAACGATCATCCGGTGCTTCCAGGTTTTCAATGGTGATCTAACATCAGTCGGTTCATAATCTCAATTAAAATTAATAATTATAATTGTTTTTTAATAATAGCCTTAAATAAGAATAATCGGTAAGACTATAATTTATAGATGACTTTTGAGTGACATTAAAGTGAACTTGAGAGTCTCCACCTAATAACTAGGGCTAAATCACGGTTATAAAACAATGTGAGAAATTTGAATTATAATTCACAGTTGATTATTAAGATTACGAATTAGATTAAAGTTTTCATCAAAAAAAGTCTATACAGCTAAATGGATGAATGAGTTTCATGGCAAAATCTAAGAACTGCTATTTTCAATCTCACTTCAATCTCATTGAATCATCTCATCAATTCTTTAATTTTAATCATAATAGATCATTATAAATGCATTAAATAAACATATAAGGATAAAGAGTCGGTTTCGAACTGATAAACTACGTTTGTCTTTTTTTTCATAGATAGTCGGATTGTTTTTGCGAACATATTCGTTGACTGTATAGATTTCATTACACAGAAAAAGAAAACTATTTAGCGGAATAACTTCAAACGTATTGTTCACCTTTTCTTTTTCTTTTGATTTATCTAACATCAATCATACATCACGAATATGCATAATAATAAGTAGTAGTAGTAGTAGTAGTATAATATGCACGATAGTTTTTAACGCCTCTTTATCGGTAAGGCGTTATCTCTTATATTTAATTAATGGGAATAGACAGTTTTATTTCATTATTTAGTTTGTTTGTTTTTTGTTTGTCAATTATTCAATTACGTAATTATTTTGAATCTGTAATGTTATAATAATCTAACTAGACAAAGTAATAAACATTCAATAACAACTACGTTCATTATTAAATATAAATGTTTACCAACAACCATAATGAACGTTAAATTGATTAGATTATCCAGCTCATAGAATGTAACATCATTAAAGTCTTTTGTACAATCTGTTATTATTTTTTCCTTTTTATATCATAATAACTTAGACTCTATAGTTTTAATAGTTGAGATTATGAGTCAATTAAAGCTAGACGATCATTGTGGAAAACCTGTAAACACTGGATGACCGTTTCGTCTTATTGCAGGACTCTTCAGCAGTGAGTATCCACGATCCCAACTCGCGGGATTTGAACCGAGGATCTATCAATCTTGCACATGAGTACTTAATGACTAGACCACTGAGCCTGATTTCGAATCTTGTGAGTCATGATCGTGGATACGCACTGCTCAGGAGTCCAATAATGGGATGAAACAGCCGTAGAGTGCTTTCAGGTTTTCTATAATAGTCTACCTTCAATTGACTCATGATCTCAACTATTAAAAAATTTACTATAATATCCACAAAATCTCTTCTGATGTTATACTTTATAATCTGAATATTTGATAATATTTTAATTGACCGACTCAAACTGTTACATTTTAGTAGGTTACTGTTCTCATCTCACGGTATTTTCTCATCAATGTTTAGTGTATCGAGGAATAGTTTTGAAGTATGCATTCTTATCTTTACACTACTATGAGGCTTTTCAGTAGTGTGAACATAAAGATTTCACAGAAGTTAATCAGTTCTTTTCAGCTGATCATATGAATTTATTACTTATATCCAATTAAATGTGATTAAAGAAAAATAGTCCATGTGAACACGAACTCATAGAATTAATGATATATCTTCATAAAGTAACCAAAATTGTGTTTTTTCCTCGAAGTCACTATAACAAACCTGGGAACATTGCTAGTTGTGATATTACACTATGTTATACTGATCATACTGCTGTGTTTACTGAACCACAGTGGGCAGACTGATGTGTTGACCAGAATTCCTGTGACAGGTTTCCTATGCTAGAGATGTATCGAAGCTGTGGTTAATGTTTCTGTTACTGTTAGACACTTTAAGCAAGATAATTTTTACAAAGGAGCTTTCATTGTTGCTGTAGACGTTATCAGAGCATAGTGTAGAAGTAAATTCCTTACTTGCGTTATGAACTCAAACTATCAGTAAAATCACACGGTATTTTATCATTGAAATCGATTTATCCTGACGAGTACAGACGTAAATTTGACGGGTAGAGTTACAATTCTGGGTTGAGGAAATTTTAAGAATATCAGGGAATTTCTGGAAACATAATAATCAGATCAATCGAAAATCGACAAATATACGGAATTATACCTTGTCTATCACACATTTTCTTAAAAGGTCAATCAACAAACTGAATGGAATTCAATCAAACAAGAACTTTAACTTGAATAAAGAAATATGAAAATAATTGAAGTCCACGAGAACAACCAATCACAGACAATGACGACAGAACTACATTTTTCAAGGTTCAAGGAATAACTAAACAGCTTAATGATGAATGAATATAACGACGGTGATTTTGTCTAGAATAACAAGAGACCAGAGAACTAAACAATATCAGTATGGTTCATGTTTCTAAATGTGATTAATTTTTGCATTTCATATTGGATACTTCATTTTCCACGTTGGTACATCAGGTAGAATATGAAAATTGGTCACTGGTGAAGAGTGATACCATTTTTTTCTCAAAATCTTATGAAGATTCTTTAACCGATGACCTAATTGTCAATTAGTTTTGTAATAGTTGAAACACTTAGTAAGGTTTTAGGATGAATACATCAGGATAATCTGAATATCTGCTGATAAGTGACTATACTTTGAAAAGTCATGGATTTTATATGAACTATCATGGACTCCAAAGAAATAACTATTATATTTAAATATTTGTTAGTATGCTGGGTTTTTAAATCAACGACCCTACTGACAATCGAACCAGTGGACTTCTATCTCACGGCGAGAGTTCAACCTTTCGATCACTGAGCTAGGATCCAATAGTATACGTGTCTAAATACAATCAATCTAAGGTAGTACGAAATCATCTATTGACAGAGATGAATAATAATAAGCACATTAAAATGGAAACACGAAGTAGATATGGCCTATAGTAATAAATGTTGGAAATAATACAATATATTATCATTGTTTTCATTCAATGAAGTATGATTTATAAACGATTGTTTATTTAATTAATTTAAAGATGAATTAATTGTTATTTTCAGACCCACACTTGCACAATTCATTGATTCATGAATAGTGACTAAAGTCATGTTTGTCTAGTTGTCAAGTACCTACCGGATTCCGTTAATCAAGTTACAACCTGGATACTAGTATAAGTGGTTTGACATCATATACATTATATTGAAATGTTAAATGTTTGGAGCTATTCTACAGGAAACCCTGTTTCACGAGAAAAAAACTGTAGTTTATGCCTTAATCACTAAGTTATTCAAAATAAAATATTGATTTATCAATTAATAACTGATTAAACTAAAGGTATGAATTAAAGAAATACAAAAGAATGTTACTTACAAAGACAATCAGATATATCGATTTCTGTTTCAGAGTTTTGATCACAAAAATTACAGACATCATGAATTGAAGGATTGGAACAACATTCATTCATAGAAATTTGTTCACTTAACACACATCGTCTGAAAATATAAAACAAAGTATACATTATATGTGAATCCATTTTTTATCCATGGTAACAATAATATAAGTATAATTTCAAAAATGTATAGATATATGAACAATTATGTTCCACTGCTAACCATTGTCCATCTTTGTTTATAAAGCTTTTGACCTCATTGCACAAGAAAGTGGCTATCAGGACTCAGTAGCCAAATGGATAACGCGATGGCATTTGAAACGAATGGTAATGGGATCGAGTCACGGAGTGAACATCAACTCTGAGATCCAGATACATTAGGCTGACGAGTCTTAAATAGGACGAAACGCACGTCAAATTGGATTCTACTACTAGCCAGTATCTGTCTTTGCTTCTAATGCTAATATCGAGGCAATTCGCACAGGATGCACATATGTCAATAAGAGATTGATCGATTGCAGTTCTAAATAACAATGGGAAGATTCAAGTTAACAACACCAAGTGAATTATGTTAATTATAAAGGATGTAATTTTGTTAGATTTACTTGTATAATACTCTGGAAATGTATTAACTATGCAGTTTGTAATTAATATTATCATTCCTAAGTTAGCATGGTGATATATACCTTAGACTCATAATACTGTAACAATTTTTATATGTACCTTGAAGATTTCAATGTGATTCTGTAATTAAAACATTGAAACATCGTAAGCTTTTTATGGTGTCGGTCTCTAAATTACGAGGTTACTCGAAAACCTTAAACTTCGATAAAACTATAAACTCAAGTTTAGTAATTTACAGAATCATATATCAAAAGACTGAAATGCCAGTTTACTGGAGGAAGTTAGAGGGAAGAACTGAATAAAGGTTTCATGCTGATTGATAGTGATCAGTAAGGGATTTCTTAACGAAGTTCTAAATGATGTTTCTTATAAGTTCGAATTCCTCATCACTGAGCTATTTCAATTGTAAACCACTTCTTGCAAAACTGATTTATAAAAGGTTTCAGGTTACTGTTAAGTAAATAAAAATTGAACAATATGACTGCAACACTATTATTTATGGACGAACCAATCACATATAAGATAACAGGTTTGAGATTTTGGTGCGAAATTCACTCATGCATTTGGTTAAATTGAGTTTTGGCATTATAGCTTATATTAGTTCATGATGAAAACCCTAAATATAATTATAATTCCTCATACAGGTTTATAATCTTCATTTGGTTCTAGTTATTAACTGGACCCTCTCAAGGTTACTCTAGTGTTGCTCAAAGGTCGTACATAAATTGTAGTCTCACCAATATATTTCATCTAAACAATGAGTATTAAAAAGTGATTTGCCTTCGTAAACCTTTAAGTAAAGCTTAAATACACTAATCTTCAGTAACTCGCCATACTAGTTTCAAAGCAAGCTCATAAATAGTATACTAGAATTCATAAATATTGGTATATGATGTTTATGAATAGTGAGTAAATGTGAGTTTGGATGATGACCGAACGAATGGATTGAATCTGAAAACGTAGGGCATTGTGTTTCGACTCATTATTTCGATAATATCGTGTTCCTATTGAGAAGTGAATGCCCTAAATTAGATCTTGGGTGATTGTTAGTGTAGAAAACGATATTAGAAAGAGATCATTTATTCTGATGACTTTTCATTTGACTTTACCTATCCTTAAAATTGAACTGCACAAACGTTTGTAGGGCGATCAAGCAAGGTAATGTAAATGCAGATTTAGTGTAATAATACGAAACGAATATCAATCATTCAAAGAGCCTTATTTATTATATAGAACACCTAAATGATACTCGTTTCACCTATATCATAATGATTATTTTTAAGAAGCATGAATGAAGTTGCACTTTTACGTATTGAATATAATCTTCACCACAATCATTGTGTACAGTGAGTGATCTTGAAGAGAATGATTCAAACATATAATTGATGGTCAAAATAGATTGAAGATGATCTTTATAAAATACATTAATCAATTATGCATGGACCTTAATCAAAAATAATTATTATAATAATTTAAGGAATGAGTCGGAAGGTAACAAGTTCGAATTCTCGCATGCTCAATTGTCTTAGCCCCTAAATGCCCTGGTACAGATGAGAGTGGAGGTAGTCAGCTCTCTCTCTCTAAATGCTCTCAAATGACCACGTACATACAACCACTCACAGAGAAGTCCGCCTCACCACCTTCTCGCACAACGGGCGTTGTTTACGAAATCGAGATGACGGAGACCGAATGTTCGGTATTTTAACCGGATTGGTGAATACGGAGAGTTTACCTATGGGAGTTGGAAAACCCTGATTCCAAACCAATGGTGTACATGGGCCGGCCCCAAGATCCTGATGGAACAAATGGCCTATGAACCAGTCGTTGGTTACCGGATACCATGGAACTGCATCTCATGACATTGCTCTACTGTCTTGTGGATCAAACTCTTAGGTCAAAGGCTTAGGGTGTAGACCCCTAAGAAAACGACCTGTTTCGGTTTGGGTACACGGGCAGTATCCCATCTGTCACACAAGTCGAATGATTTTATGTGGCGCATATCTATTTGGTGCCTTTTTGTACCAATGCTTATGTGTTCAAATAAGTAAATGATTAAATAAGAAATAGGCGATGAATCAACTCACTCGCAAGCTCCAATATTGCATTTAGAGTACTTCGCTTTAGATATTGAAATAGTTAAGAAGGTAATAAGCATACATAGAAGTATATAGTCTTTTATTCGTTTGTAGAACATGCTTAATCTTGTCTTTAAGTTGTGATGTTCTTGCTAAAATGAAAGAAAATATATTGAGCAAGTGTTGTTTGAATACTTTACATTGAATATAAATTAAATTACATTAAGTGAAACTGTCAAAAAACAAGTGGCTATGGTGTCCATCCAATAAACAGGACTAAATGAGGGTCATAAAGCAATTTGAAGGATAAGTATTATGATTCACACTTGATGATTAGGGTTAGGGATTAGATTTATGGTTTTCATCATGAACCGATATTGGCTATAATGTCAAAAGTCTATCAAGCCAAATAAATGAATGAATTTCGCGACGAAGTCCAAAATCTGTTATCTTAAACGTGATTGGTTCGTCCATAAACTATAGTCTCGCCGAGACTATTATTCACTATACGTTTTTTTATTCTTTTTCAATAATACCACAGGTCTCTTTTGTTATTTAGATTAATTTGTTTGAACAATTTCTTTTACCATGAACTGATAGCTCCTGGGTTCGAATCTCACAAGGCGGGATCGTGGATGCGCACTGCTGAGGAGTCCCATACTAGGAAGAAATGGTCGTTCAGTACTTCCAGGTTTGCCATGGTAGTTTAGCTTCAATTGTCTCATGAATTCAATTATTAAATTACTACAATCTCCACAAACCTCTTCTCTGATTATAATTTCTTTTTTCTCTTTGTTTAAAACTTAAAAGCTATTGATATTGTATTTTATTCTATAAAAGCTGTTACGTTTATATTGCTATGTAGAGCTGAAGGTCCCATATGGGACTAGAGGTTAGCCATTGATATTGTGGATGGTTCGGCATTACTTTGACAAGTTTTGCTGACTGTTCATGCACAAAATTGGTTTGCTGGTTAACCGATTTCATCCACACTGTTAGTTGCTTTTCAGTGTTCTCAAGGGCCATTGTCATTGGGACATTTTAAGGCTAACATTAATCAGTTTGACTATCGTGTAAGTGGAACAGAACAACTTTGGCCTGTTCGTTCTTTGCATAATTGATTCATGCGATCATTGATCGTAATAACTACACATGTGATGTGAATGTATATATGAATAGTGCGAATGGTCCACCAAGGTTCTTGGTACTTGTGAGGTTGCGCCACAGGACTGAGATGTACTATTCAGATTGTAGGGTTAATGCCTATACGGTGACTGGTTCCCCTGTGAAGCGGGATAGAGCTGTACTGCTCGGGTCATAAAGTTTAAGCCTGGATGGTGTCTGGTTCTCTTGGAAACGGGATTGAGACGTACTATTTGAGCAACAAACTTTACGCCTGGGTGATGTCTGGCTCTCCTGTTAAATTGGACTGAGCTGTACTGTTTTGGTTGTCACGTGAAAGTCTGAATGGTGTCTGGTTCTCTTGAAAACCAATGTAAAATTACACTGGCACACAAGGATATATTTTATAACTGACTAAGTTTCTATAAACTCATTCTATGATTGTGATTTGAAAAGTATGATGACTGTGTACAATGATTAATATATCAACGTTATATTCCTTTGAAAGAGAATAAAAATCTGATTTACTAACTTTCCTTAAGGGTTAGGCGAATATTTACTAGTGAAATAAATAACGATTAACTGAATAGACTATAGCAGATGTATATTAAAAATCGTTATCTTTCTTTCTGGTTTCTGTTTAGAGACTTGATCCCATAAAGTACATTTAAAATGTTCTCTTAAGTACTCAAGAAGATTGTTGATTGAACCATGAAATGATTAAGAATACTTCAGGATATTTTGTAGATTTTTGAAATGGCTAAATTTAAACTCATTTATTTATCATACCTGTCATAGAGACGCTATTATCATCAAGTTGTATTCACTTCCTTTTAATATAGACAATTACTTTGTACACTTCTGAATCTGTTCATTGATTTCATCTTACTAATTTTACTGAAAATATTCAACGATTACAAAAACTTCCATTTGATACTCAAAATGTTTAGTCACTTATCTAAAAAAAGGTTTCAATAGACTAGTATGTATGTCAAACAAAAAGTGTAATTTGAGTACACATTATACAATACATCCAAACTGGTACTTACATCTCACATCTCTTCATATATAATACATAATTTGAACATTTTTTTAAAAACAACTATTATGAAATTCACTTGGTATTACCTTATATGAATCTTCCCATCAATGTTTTTAGGGGTGCAATTGATCAGTCAGTCTCTTATTAGCATATGTGCATACTGTGCGTATTGCCTAGATATAGCCAATAGGAAGATTCAAACAGACAATACCAAGTGAATTTAAACTTCATTCCATTGCACAAGCAGGTGGCTATCACGACTCAGTAGCTTAGTGGATAACCTGGTGGCGTTTGAAGCGAACGATACTGAATTCAAGTCTCAGAGTGTACATCAACTCTGAAATTCAAGTACATCCAGTTGACGAGTCACGAATAGGACGAAACGCGCGTCAAACTGGATACCATTATCCATTTTGAAATGAAATATTTAATGTGTTTTTTTTCTTGCCGATGGCTCATTTATATTTCGAGGCTATTTTTCTCCTAGTTTTACTAATATACACATTGTTTTATTTTTACTTTGTCTCCATATCACTAATTGTAATTAATTCAAGTGTTACAACAATATCTATCATTAGTTCGTTTAATTTAATCAAAGTAAATGTTGTTTACAAAGTATGTATGCTTTATTATAATGATTTTACTTGATAGCAATTAACGAGTTGAATATTATATTCTTATAAATAAATAAAGAATATAGACATAAAGTGCCGATTAGTATCTATAGGCATAAAAGCCAAATGATAATAATAATAATAATAATAATGTTTCCAACTGAACAATTTCAACCAAAAAATAATAGGAAAAATGCAATTCACACTTCGTTAACTAGATTTTTTAACGGGGGGGGAGCGGTTAGGAGTGAGGGTGGGGGTGGGGTGATGGAAAAGAAAATTTATTCTTTGATCCGTTATGTTGTAATCTTTTAAAGACAATAAAGGATTTTCATTTTGTATCGTTTTGTGTATGTTTAACTAGAAATCAGTCATGCAAATTAATTGTTTATACACTTAGTTAGATTATATTGGTTGAATAATAAATAGTTGCTTAAGTCTAATTTAATTAGTTTCTATTTAAAAAAAAAACACATGGATATTTTAAAATAACTGTGAGGACGGTCCATAGATGAACACGAGGAAGCGTTAAGAAGCTCAGAAAGAGCTGAAGATATTCCATCCAATCATGTTTTGGATGAATATTCTAGAATCCCTATGTGTAAAACTTCCCTATTAGACAAATGATAAATGGTTATTTGAATAAAATGATTATACATTGGGAATTTTGTCATAGATTTATAGTTAGATCTTGAAAAAGATTTTTCAATTTGATTATATCAATCAGTAATAAATACCAGTTAGGATGAAAGGAAATGTACTTGGGATAATGTTTAACACAGTTGAATGGGTATAACCGTTCAAACCCAATTAAAGAGAAAACTAACATCCCTTTTATTCAAACGAAATACTTCTCAAATAGTAACTAGTATTCTGTTATCTGGTACCAAGTACTAATTACATTTAACTCATCAAACCTTAACTTGAAACTATTAAACTAAATAACATGACAAATGCATAAGCTGAAATGATATAAGCAAAAATGGATAGTGGTTAACAGAGGAAATCAAGATGCTGTAACGATGCAATATGCACAGTACACACATATGCCAATAAGAGACTGACTGATCACTTGCAGTCTTAAACATCAATGGAAAGATTCAAGTAAAATAATACCAAGTGAATTAAACTTCACCCCATTGCACAAGCAAGTGCCTATCAGGACTCAGTAGCTAAGTGGATAATGTGATAGTGTTTGGAGCGAACAGCACTGGGTTCGAGTCCCGGAGTGAACATCAACTCCGAGATGCAGGTACATCCAGCTGACGAGTCTCAAATAGGAAGAAACGCGCGTCTTGGATTCCACTGCTAGCCACTATCCATCTTTGCTTATACTACTATAGTAGTTCATATATTTTCTTTCTCTGAAATTCGATGATGACAGAGGCTACTATCATAGAATTTATACGTTAAATATGGAAAACGATGTTATGGAAACAAAACTGAGCGTAAACAGTCACAGATTAATTTGAGTGATAGCTGATATTTGTTTGAAGACGCTTAATACACAGTTCCTTGGTTTTGGATACTCACAAGCGAAATGCTTCTATTCAAGGAATCTTTGCTATGAATATACATATATTGAGTAAGGTGATTATTATTATCATATAAATTTGTAATAATCATAATAAAAAAATACTGGAAGATGGATTGTTTATAAAATTAAGTAAATATATCATGTTACGGGAGAAAGTACTTGTAGGCTGGACTATAACTTATGGACGAACCAACCAGCTACTAGATAACAGGTCTGGGATTTTGGTGCGAAATTCATTTATCCATTTGGATAAATAGAGGTTTGGTATTATAGCTGATGTCAGTTCGTGATGAAAACCCTAAATATAATTCTTAACTTTGACCATCAACCGTAATTATAATTCCTCATACAGGTTTATAATCTTCATTTGGTTCTGGTTATTAACCGGACCCTCTCAAGGTTAGTCTAGTGTTGCTCAAAGGTCGTCCATAAATTATAGTCTCACCTACTTTTATTACAAATACTTTTAAGTAAACATTACTTTTTAATTTACACCCTGAATTAACTTTAGTTAGATAGTCGTTAAAATCTGGGAAGCACTGAACAGATGTTTCGTTGTATTTTAATAATTCTAGGCAATATACAATCACTACTACATCAGAGGTCAAACCCAGAACCTTCAAGATTTGTGTCAGAACTTACAGTTCAGATCAATAAGTTTATATTTATTCCTGTTTCTGAATTCAGTTCCATGCTAAAGAACATTATCGTTGAGTGTTTTCTAGATTCAAGGATAAAATGACTAAAGTAAATTAGCTATGTAATTTATAAGTTGAATAGTTTCCCATCAAAAACATTGTATTACTAGAAAGAGATATTACAATTTATATTAAGAAC